AACGTAGCTGATGGGGATCTGAAGTTGAGATTTTTATGTGAATTTTTTTAATCCTTGTATTCAGCAGGTGAGCAGCTCTCACACCTTTGAAGTGTGCTGGTTTTGGTACCTTGTTGCTGCCATTACAAATGCCAGGTATTGGATGAAACTCCTGGTTACCTACCAGAGTTGTGTGGGTGGTGCAACAGTCCGAAACTCGGATTCCGTAGGGTGCGCCCTAATTTGTTAGCCCTTCACTCACCTCTCTTTGACTGGCTTACTTCAGCTTGACCCTTTCGAAGGAAGATACGCTAGATGTGAAGAGAATATTATTAACCAAATGAAATGTTTTCTCAGTTTAAAGAAAAGCTGTTAATAAACACTTGTCTCAAGTTCATAGTTTCTTTCATCACTGCCATTTACAAAACATGCTGAAATGGATCTCATAGGAAGATAAGCTAGATGTGAAGAGAATATTAACCAAATGAAATGTTTTCTCAGTTTAAAGAAAAGCTGTTAATAAACACTTGTCTCAAGTTCATAGTTTCTTTCATCACTGCCATTTACAAAACATGCTGAAATGGATTTCATACCATTTTTGAAAGCTACAACTCTGAAAACAGGGAAGGATTTTAAGTTTGGGCAGACATGACTGCTGGATTTGTTCTTCAGTGTTTGCTGTGCATCAGTTCTTCGCTTGCTTGTCTCGAGGTTTGATGAGGGAATTAAAAACAAACAAAAAAAACCCAACACCCCCCCACACCCACGTAAGTTTGAGTAAACATTCACTTGCCACATGACCTGGCATCTTACTGGCTTTACTGTATGGGGGTTTGTGTCACGTGAGTCAGCTCAGCATAGAGCCACAAATACTGAAATTCAAGATGCTGCAAGGTTTCAGCTGCGTGCGTATACTGGGGCAATAGATCAGGCTGCTAGACCGCAAGATGTGGGAAGTTGTTGACGTGGTGAGCCTGTGTCCTTCAAATCAGACAACTCACTGGGGTCAAATCAAGGTTGCCGTTCAATCTTTAACCACGCTTTGACGGAAGGCTTCATAAAAGATATTTACTGTATTCCAGCTGCTCTGTAGCTTTAAACAGGTGAGACAGGAGAGAATGAGCATGCATGTGTGAGCTTGGGCATGCCTTATGGCTTGAGTATGGACTGGGGTGCTTACCAGCTGTGTGGGATGCTGGGCTCACCCTGCCTGTTCAAGCAGGCAGCTACCTCTTAGCTCCTCATGATGTTGCCCTGTTAATGTTCTGCGTAGTCTTCCGTAAGATCCATCTGCTGCTGTCCTTCGGGAAAGCTGATGATGATCTGTACTTCGTGAGTTTTTTTTGTGTAAGTGGGTAGAAATGGACCTGTGCTACAGAATCAAAATTCTCTGTAATGAAGACATACAGCACTCTAGGAATGAATTAGAGAAATAATGAGTTTTCCTAGTCTAGTAATTTAGCTTTTATTTTTGAAAGAATACATTGTGTGTAACTACGTGCAGAGTCATTACCAGAGTGAACTGTCGAGCAGTTAAATCTCTTCCTGCCACTTCCTGCTCCCCTCCCAAACTCTCCTTGCTTAAAATGTATGGCTGCTCGTGCTGCTTCAAATTGAGTATGAGAGAGTGCTTCCAAGTGTGCTTAAAAAAAAAAAAAAATAGAAGTCCATGGAGCTGTAAGAGCCACATGAGACAGTTGTGTTCTGAGATGCCAGTGTCATCTAGTAGTTGCCATGGGCTTTGTACGGATCATTCCTTCATGTCAGAAGTTGACTCCAAATCTCATTGTGGATGCAGTATTAGAACTTGTGAAGATTTCTCTTTGAGATACTAGCTTTTTTTTTTTAAGAACTGCGCTGAGTTTGTTGCCATATTGTTTGCACTTTAGCCTAGTAATGTTAAAACTGGCATTCCAGGGTGAACTTGGTCTCATCCAAAATGTGAGCTTATATGCCATTTTACATCGATTATGCAAATATGAGAGTAAGGAGTACTTTCCAAGCTCTTACGTATCATAATATCCGAGGTTGCCTAAAAAGAGCCAAGACTTCTAATGTTTTTACTCAAAGCTGCCAGTAGTAGCAGCTACTAGATTTTAAATGGCCATGATGTAGCTTTACTTCTTAATCCCATTTTCCCTGGAAATGTTCCAAGGGAAATGAAAACTTGCTTGCAGTGTTAGCAAAGTAAATAAAGCCCAAGTTACTCCAATACCCTAGCAGAAGTTTCACTTGCCAGTAGTGAAATGAATAGATGTGGCAGGTCTTCTGTGAGTGCTTGAAGACAGGTAGCCATGAAAACGAAATGTGAGGAGGTTCTGTCTTGTTTCTTTGTCTTGCAGAGTTGATTCTGCTTTCCACCAGCTCAGTGTGGTTCAGGAGATTCTTGTGCATATGCAGAAGTAGGCTAAATTGATGTTGTGCAATCAACCTGAATTACTCTACTAAGAAGAGAGATCCCAGTGCATTCTAAAATACAGCTCCCAGGGTAGACGTCCTTTTCATCAGCTTCACTTTTTCTGTGATGCTGTAACTAAATTTTCTTAGCTTGGTTGAAGGCTGATCTTTGATACTTTTCCCTTACACTGCAGTCTCTTGGGCACTGAACTGTTATGGTACTGAACAATTACACTCAGCATCTGAAATAAATGTCAGTTTCTTGAAGAAAATAATATTTTATCTAGATCTTGATTTACTTTTAGAATGCTTTAATTCAGCTCATTATTCTTTAGGCTTTTTTCACAACAAACCTAAATTTCCTATGACTGTAACCAGGCAGGTCATTTGGTCCAGTTTTCATTGCTCTAGATGACCATAAGGTTTCGTTTTCAGCTGAGCTATGGAGCAGTTATAGAGCCTTGTCAGAACTACCAGCCGTTTGCATAGGTGACTGATAGGAACCAAGAAGTAGATTTACAGACATACTCAGTAATTCTTCAACTGCAGCTGGTTTGTAGTTGATTACGAACTTTTCTCAGCAGCATCTCATTCTGACTCTTTCTCCATCTCTGCATTGCATTTTTAAAAGACCCTTCTTGGTCGCTCTTGCAGTTGAACCTGCCTTTTGAGCACCCCTTCAAAGGGCCTAGCTAACAGGTCTTTTCAAAATGAGTACGTTTTGTGGCTCAGTGTCACGTTGCAGGATGAATATTAGCCTCTTAATAAATTACAGACCTTTTCAAATGATACCATCAGCACGCTTTCCTAGGTGAGTCACGTGCAAGGTTTTTTTGTACATCATAGTACACTCCATTGATTTTTAGAAAGCAAAAACTGATAAATAGTACTTATAGTATTGGTATGACGCTTAACATTTTGGAGGAAAACTGTTTTGTTGACATTTCATTTGAATGACTGCTTTCAAAATACGTATTTTCTGCATCCCCTCTTGATGTAGGGAATGGATAAAGGTGCTAGACTGACCTGTGAAACCATGAATATGATCCACAGCTCATACACAACTTGTATCAAATGTGTAACGATGCATTATGAAGTGCATGGTTTCTACTAGAACCCTGACAATGGGAAGGTACAGGCCAGTAGTTCCTGAAACAAATCCAAATATAGAATCTTTTTCTCTGGTTTTATAAATGTTTTACTTTACGACCCTGGCTAAGTTTGGAATCCTGTGAGTACTGAGGAATTTTTCAGCTTTATCAGTGGTAATTATTTCCCAGACAACTATGCATTAGTCTCCTGGAGTCATTGCCTAAAGTGGAAATAAAATGTCTGTACAGGTCTCTAAGCCCCAGCTACTACTGTGTTTGAGCTGAGTCTGGATTATGTTTTTTTTCTCTCCACCAGCATGCTCTTATAATGGGTATATTCTCTGTGTATCTTGTCCCCACCACTTGTTGGAAGCTTGGACTCATGCAGGAGAGGGCTGGTCAGTGCCTTACCCTTGACTGCAGGTACTGGGGCCTTGCCAGGAGGACTAGGTGCCTTGCAAAGGCACAATTCGGCCCTCTGATTGACAAGGCGTTGAGTCTTCACAGTGATGTACTAGCACTCAGCACAGCTTCATAAACAGTTCTTTACATGCACCTCTCGCTTAATGAGGTATCTGGAATGTACAGGAGGACTCTTGAGAACAATATTCAGGTTCTGCCTTTCTGTGCCTGTTTAAAGTATGGAAATTTAGAGCTGAGACTTGCAGAAGTGAAGGGAGTGACTCCAGGTCTTCAGGCAGCTTGGGTGGTGAAATACCATCCCCCAGTTGCAGATAACATAAAGCAGTACTATGAGGGAAATGCTGAACATGGATTGGAAGGAAAAATATGCATGGGAGGTCTTCTGCTTGTACTCACAGCACTGGTAACATTTTTTTCCCCAAAATTAATATACTGGACACTTAAGTCTGGATATCACAGTCTGTTTGCCTGCAGTTGATACACTGCTACATCTGCATTTTTGTTTTTATGACGCTGAAGTGTTTCTCTTTATGAAAACCTGGTAACGAGCCTTTATCTTGTGCTTAATAGGGCAGTAGCACTTGATTGCCATTTGTTAAATTTGGATGAATAAACGGAAGAGGTAGTATCTGAGTTAACTGTGTGAGCTGCTTTGATCTGTTTCGGGGAAGTCATACCTGAAAACAAAGAACAAAACTTTCAAAGATCCTCCTGTGAAGTTAATGTGGGAAACGGTGATAGGAGTGTAGTGTGTCCTGCAGATGAGTGTCAGTTCAGGCTCTGTACACGTGCCTCGGGATGCTGACGTGGGGTGGCTTCTGCTTTCACTGTACGTTGATTTTTGGGGTTTGGTATTTCAGTTGCTGGTGAAGTGTAGTAGTTTTCCCTCTTAAGGGAAGATTAAACGTGTGCACGTGCATTTGCCAACTTGGGTGATCTTGTTTGTCCTCAGACTTTGCTTCCAGGAAAAATAAGACACTACTAGCCCTAGTTCCTTAGCATTCAAGACTGAACATTAGCCAGCAATGTGCCTTCGCGGCTGAGAGTGCTGATGGTATCCTGGGCTGCAGTTGGATTCCTGCTAATGCTGGATAATTTTCTTTGTTGCAGGTGGTACGGTCAAGAAAAGGACTACAATGTTCTAGTTATGGATCTTCTTGGCCCCAGCCTTGAAGACCTATTCAACTTCTGTTCTCGCAGGTTTACGATGAAAACAGTACTTATGTTAGCAGACCAGGTACGTACAAACCTTACTTTGATGAAGCTAACCCTGAAGTCTTATGTGCAGTGTGGTTCTCCTAGCGGGTTAAATCACGTGTTACACAGTGTGGTGTATTGCCAAATACACGCTTGCCCTGTATAGGAACGAAGTAATGGTGGCTCGTGTGTGCCGTGGTGTGCAAAATGAGCGCGGGCCTGTGGTGGAAAGGCAGCGCAGACGCCAGCCCTTTGATGCTGCAAATCTAACAAGTGCAACTTCATTGAAGTATCACGACTAAGGGGTGGATTAGCTCACACTGTCAGCCGTGGGGGTAGTGTTAGAAGAACTGAAGCAGGCTCTAGTTATGGCTGATTTGATCCAGTGGAAACCCATTCCATGCTGGCCAGCTGCAGTGACAGGTGGGCAACACGCAGGTCTGTGTGTCTGTTACTGAATGTCACTATGCACTCACAACCTCCTGTAACGTCCAGTGCCAGACTGTGAGCCAATAAATACTATTTTGGTGGTTGTGATACATAAAGATGGTTCTTAAAGCTGTTAGTGAATATGCCACTCTGCCTCAAACTCAAGGCCTGTAAAACTGTGTTGCCAGAGGCATCAGGAGTACTTACCTGTTTAGTCTTTTTCTTGCAATTGAGAGGTTTTTCAACTTGGTCTTGAGTGCAGCATTTGAAATGGCCAGCCATATTTATTTCTTGCTATTTAATAAACAGTTTGATTATGCTGTCTTCAGCTATTTGAAAGGCAGTAAGGGATTCTGGAGTTGAATTTTCAGTGGTAGTTTATATTTCATCTGATGTTACGTAATTGATGTTAGTACCAAGTTGTCACTTCGCCAGATTCTCGTCGAATCCCAGGCTCTTGGCCAAGGAAGCTCACAGCATTTGTATGGAGATAAGGTCAGCTGTCCCTCTTCTCAGCTGCCTTGAGTGGTATGCTTGCTTCACAGAGCCATTTGCCTGCTCAGTTAGCTGGAGCCTGGGTGTTACAGCATCTCCAGGGAATCTGCATGGTTTTCATGCAGTATTCCTTTGGATGGTAAACACTATTTAGTTGTCTGCTGTAGAGGGGATGTATGAGATCAGTGCATGGAACCAGCTGTTAGGGTATAGCCCAGCAGAACAGCTGTCAAGGGTAAGATGTTGTAACAAGTCAGCTCACTGAGAGACTGCGTGAAGAGTCCATGGTAGCTGAAAAGCTGTACCACAAAAATGCGTGTGCTGTGTTCGCATGCACAGGAAATCGCCTGACTGTGTATGATGATACACATGTGCCAGAGCTGCTCTGCCTCTTCACTGCTGACTGTTATTCCTGGATCGTGGTAGCCTAGGTATGACAGCATGGGTCACAATCAAGCTGTTACTTGCTCTGTGAAAGCTGTTTCCTGGACAGGTGATGCTTGAAGAATGAGTAACTGGGACACAGGGGGAGGGAATGAGCTTTAAAACTGCCATGTGGTAGGTATAGAGAAACCTTTGTTTGAAATAAGAAAAAGAAATTACTCTTTAATGGGAAACTGTAGTTAGAATGTGAACATCTGGGAAATAGTTTCAGGTGTTTAATCTGTCATTTTCTGACCAAGATTGTGGAATTTTAACATACAAGAAACAAATATTTGAAAAATATTAAGGAAAACAACTTTGGTTTTCATTGAGCAAATCCAGCAGAGGAAGGTAAGACTCAAAATTCATGCTTCCATTGAAGGTTGAATTGAATTGTATTGCTCTTACTGAAATCTTACCTCTTTTGTTGTTGCTGTTATTTTTTTACAGATGATCAGTAGAATTGAATATGTGCACACAAAGAATTTTATACACAGAGACATTAAACCAGATAACTTCCTAATGGGTATTGGGCGTCACTGTAATAAGGTTAGTCTAATGCTCTTTGTTTAAAAAATCCAAAGGGAATGGCTATGTTACTTGATTGAAGCTGCACAACCTTTTTAAACCTCACTACTGAGACTGACATTTTTGGATGCTAAACCATGTTTCTTTGGGTTTCTCAGTGTCCACTTCTAAATGCAGTGGCATACACATGTGGCTTTCTGATCCACCCTGTGAGATGCACTTGGTTGCAAGATGATTTCCAGGCTTGCAACAAGATTATAGACTAACCCTAGAGAATACTTAGCTGCTTTTCTCAAGGATGGAGTTTCATTACCAAGATGACTGTTGTTGATAAAGTCAAATCTTATGTTTGGCTTTGGGGCTGACTTCTGGGATGAAAAGAATTTCTGCCAACGTGGAAGCTCCTGACCTACCAGTCATCAAGGCATTAAATCTTGCAGTGACAGACTAGTAAAGAGAACTCTTCAGCCATCAGAATTGTAGATGTGACTAAGAGCCAACTTGTAGATCAATAAATAAATGAAATTATGCAAATACGTCAATGGAAAACTGTTAAGTTGTAGAGTACTTGAATGTGTTATACAACAAAAAACCTGTTCTTCATTTACCTTACTGGGGGGGAGGCGGGGGGTGGGCTGAGGTTGTTGCACTTGTTTGGATGGGTAAACGTAGTCAGAGGTGCATGTTTCCTGTTGTAAACCTTATACAGAAGAAAACCTTTACTTTTTTTTTTTTAGTTCTCTTGAGTGAAATATGCTTAATCCTGCAATTTGTATGTCGAGCTCGGGCAGACAGGCAGCATTGGCAATGCATTAAGCATGCTACTTAATAGAAATTAACTTCAGGACAAATGTACGTGATCAAGCTGTTTATTGGAAGCAAGATTCCCACTTATCTTCTCTATATGCCATCTGAGAATGTCTCATCTCTTTAGGCACTACCAGCATTTTAAATGTTTACCTTTGTTTGCCTGTATGAATGCCAACTTCAGGGCCGTGAACATTAGAAGGGGAAAGCTTGATTAACTTGAGATAACAGCTCTGTCTGAAGAGGTGCAGTGCACTGAATGTTTAGATAAAACCATTGTTGGAAAAGCTTGTAAGTCCAGCTGAAAGGCAGTCTATGTAATCCTGTTGCTGTTAAACTTTGCTTGTTCCCAAGTTTCATACTTTCACTCTGTAGAGCTCTGTTTCTCTGCTGTGTTGAGCAGTTAGGCTCCTTAATTTTCTGGCATGACTTAGAGTGTAACTTGAAAACTTTAATTTTTTTTTTTCTAGTTTTAGTTCCTGATTTCCACTTCTTTTTGAGACGTTTTTCTATACTTTTACAGTCATGCTGGGTTGGCATTACTGCACTGTTTCATCTTGATGTGGATTAATGGCCTAGACATTGCTGCTGTGCTTACTTTAGTGGAGGAACACATTCGATTTCCACCAGCTGAAATGAAAAACAAAATTGCCTGTAAACCATGATATATTTTTCCCATTAATAGACCAGTTATAGCCACACGATGATACAGTGGTAAACACTGTGGGCATGGGTTTCGTTACTGTTGTGGGTGTTCAGATCAGGGAGGTAGCTCTTGAAGGAAGTGCAGGTTGATAGGTTTGTTTACATGAGAGCAATGGGTTCCTTCAGTTTGCAGCCAAGTCCTTTAGCTGGGGAACATCTGCCACCATACAGTATTTACTTTGCTGTAGGTAAGTGTAGGTTAGGGTGTTCTAAGGATTGACAATACAGAGTTCACATAATCAGTGATAAAGACTAGAATAGCATGGTAATCTTGTTCCAGTAGCTTCCTGTCAGTTGTATTTTTAAAAAAAAAATATTTTTTCAAATTTTAATTTGGTGATTGGGAGAAATTTTGCTCCCACCTTTAAAAGATAAATTATCAGTTCTGCTAGAAATAAGCCCTGCATGCTTATGAAAGTAAACTGTAAGGTGACTAAATGCCTTCTACCTCTTCCTTACTGAAGATTTACTTTTTATAAATGTCTTTTGGGGGAAGGGCAGTTTGTGGAACCAAAGGATGCTTTTGTAAGCAAAACCTCAATTTCCTTTTTTAATAGAGCCAAATGTCACCGTTACTATCCCTGGTCAAGGCAGTGCCATTTTGGAGCGGCTCACAGTTGAAATTTACCTTGTTGCATCTTTCAAATTTTCCCCTTTGAGGGGAAAAAACCCCACCAAACCAAAAACCAAAAAAACCCAAACATACATAGATTTTTGAAAACTACAGTGCTTGATGGAAGAAGGATGGCATTTGGCTACCCTGTTCTTTCTTGAACGCCTCGGTGTTGCCTGTCTGCGCCGGCCATTGTTGCAATGTAAGCAATACTGTTTGATGCACTGCCACCCTCTATTGTTTGTTCAGTGTTTAGAATCTCCAGTGGGGAAGAGGAAAAGAAGCATGACTGTTAGTACTTCTCAGGACCCATCTTTCTCAGGATTAAACCAGGTCTGAACTGTCTCCTATTCCAACCTCAACCCCAAATTCATGTGCTTTATTTTTGTTTTGTTTTGGTTTTTTTTTTCCTTTTTCTGGAGAATGTAGACCTTGCAAAAGCACCTCTTATGTTGGCATTATTCAGACATACTTGGCAAACATGTAACATTACTAAGATGTTTTCCTGTGGCGCTTGTTTAAATTGTGGAATTATTTCTAAACTCCATATTAAAAAGGGCTAAATGTACGTGCTTGATTTCAGATGCAGAAGCAAGTTTGGGTTTTTTGTCCTTTAAAACTCAAAGGCAAACTGTTGAATGTGTTGAAGGATAGACATGCCACCCTAGGGAAATAGCAGGGCTTCCGCATAGGGCTGTCTGCTTGCCTTCCTATAGGGTTCCTGCAGTGTCTTTGACTGCACGTGGAGAAAGTTCTGTTTCTGCTTCAGCCAGACACCTTTCCTTGCAGTTGTTGTTCAAAATCTTTCCAGATGTGTAAGGAGACTCTTGTATTTTCATCTGTTGTGCTTATAAAATGAAATTACCCTAACAAGCTGTGTTTTGGAGAAGCCAAAGCTTATCTTGTGGTGTTAAATGTAGTACTCCTGACTCTTTAAGAGGAGATGAATTGGAACGAAATGAAGACATATGCCAGTTCATAGCAGGACAGCTGTAAGTTGCTGAATATGAATCATAGCTCAGGAGTTTGGCCGTAGGATCAGTCCGTAGCTTTCCACAGTGGTAGTCTTCATGTATTAAATCCCAGGCAGCTAGCTGCTGTACACAAGCTGACAGGCTTCTGTTGTCTGCCTCTGAAACTTTCTTATCAGTTGAGGCAGAGACTTTGATCTACTTCTCTAGTTGCTCTTGGCAAAAATCTTGCCCTACTTCTCCAGTTTCCTGATTAAGGTGGTATGAGGTTATCTTCGGGAATACGTCTGTGTTCCTGCTGGCTGACATCCGTACATTCTGTGCTCGTCCAAACCAGGCTGTATCTTCCAACTTAACTCTTTGCAGGATGGGCTTACCTTTGCCTTCCACCCATCTAGAGTGGCAGCTACGGGATGAGCGTGAGCTAAGGAACGGAGTAAACTTCTCTAGAGAAATTAATGCTGTTAAAATAATACCCGGTTACTTGACTAGCACAAAACGAGTCTGTGTTGCTGAATTGATTCCCTTTGGGTTTTTAAGAGGTTCTACCTATGCCTCTTGAGAGACTGCAAGATTACCTTGTTCAGGTCTAATATCGAGAGCTTGTAGCCGCTGTGGAAGAGGCAGAGCATCACTTACTTTCTTCAGAAGTTGTAAGTCTTAACCGTGCCTGCGCTCAACAGGGCTGGGCACCAGCTCTTCATCTGTCAGAGGCACCATTCCAGTGTTAAGTATTTTGAGTCACGAACTGTGACTTTGTCCCTCATGCCCTTAACTAATGGCAAGATCCCCAGGATTACAGAAAACATGTGAAGACTTGGGTTTGTTTAAAGTGATTGTAACTAAATGTAAGTGAAAATGTTCTGACTGATGTGGGTAGGGTTTGGTTTTTCCTTCCTTCTCAGAGCATAGTATTTTACTTAAACTAATGGGCAGAGGCCTTGCCAAAGTAGCTGTTGTAAACTGTATCAGAGGCTGTCATCACATCAGAGAGGTTTAATCAGAAGATAAGGGATTGCATACGAGCTCCGGCTTTGCTTCTGGGAAGGTTGCATTTGCAGTATAGTGTTCTCATAGAAGCTTTGAACTATCTGCTTTGGGAGTTTAGTATCCAAATCACTCATTTCCTGGTAGCTGGGGAACATGTCCACACTCACTCAGTAACTGCCTCTAGTGGTAGCTGCAGCGGGTGCAGCAAGGGCGTTTTCTGAACTGTCTCAGCAGTGTAGTTGCCTTAAAAACTTGGATTTACGTCCTCTTGCATCCTGGGCTTTCAGGGTGGCTTCACTGGAACGGCAAACATAGAACTGCAGTGCTTCGGGGCTGCGTATAAATCATGGTAAGGCTTCAACTCAAGGTTTTCTGCTCTGACATCAGTAATTAAAGAGGGTTTTAGCTTTGTTTTGCCTTACCTACACTACTGTATTTAGAGAATCTTTTTCAACCAGAATTCTGAAACATACCTACTGTGCAATTTGGAAACTTTGTCTTTCAGTATCTTTGGTACTTCCGTGTCGAGTGTCACTTCATAATTCACAGCACTTCCAGGGTGCCAGTGACCCTCTGTTTCTGTCTTGGATGCAGGGGTGCCTGCAGATCAATCTCCTGTGCTTGTTTGCATTTAAAGATCCATCTTCTGTTCCAGAATCACCTTTAAGGTGATACAGAATAGGTTCTTACTGAGAATTTGTTGGACCTTATGTCTTCTTTCCATCATCTCCTTCCCCCACCCATGTCACTTCAGCAGTATTCCTTAATCTGTAGGGGTTATAGTCCCTGATCCTGTAGCATTAACCCAGCATTGGAATCGGGAGCTCAGCCTGATGATTTTTAGCCTGAAAACTGATTGCTAGCATTTGAATCATTCCTTATGTACTTCTGCCTCAGCTTTTTTTGCCTAGTCCTGAAATCTTGTCGCAAGAAGGTACAGTCTGTATTAACCGTCGTAGATAGGCTGGCTGTGAGCACACTAATTAGCATGCGCTCAGTTGTCGCTAAATACCAACTCATTGGGCAAGCTTGGTTATTAGAAACCTGAATGGGATTCCATGTACTAGCTTCCTGGCTGTATTAATACCATCGGCAAGTGTGTCGTGCTGCTGTGATGGTGGTGTGGGAGTCTTGAAGTGAGCGTACGATTGACAGCAAGATGCCTTGTTTGCTGTTAAAGGTTTTGGCCTTACGCTCAATGGGCAGTGCTCTTTGAGACAGACAAGATTACAGGATGTACTTCATTTGCATCAAGCCGCTGAGCTGCTGTTAACTATCTGTATGTGTAAACCCCTCTAGTGTGAGCGGGTTTTTGTGAAGAGCGCTTTCGCACACTGCTTCCTTCGAAGTTGTGCGCTGCAGTTAACGAGCTGATGTGACACAGACTACAACAGTAACGTGAAATAGTTGTAGAACTAAGCTACAGATGCTGAATAGCACAGTCCAATCTATTCCACCGGATTGAGAAAAGGCTTGAACTAATTCACTATGAAGTTTTTGAACTGGCTAGTTAAAGCTAGCTGTGACTCTGCACTGTTACTTTGCTTCATCTTAACTGTAGGCTGTTACGTTGTGTGGATGTCTTAAAATGCAGCGAATGCCTAGTGAAAGAGGTTGGGGGTTCTGTGCATTGTATAGCAATATAATCTATTTTCATTTTTCTTTAAGTTATTCCTTATTGACTTTGGTTTGGCCAAAAAGTACCGGGACAACAGGACACGGCAACACATACCATACAGAGAAGACAAAAATCTCACTGGCACAGCTCGATATGCCAGTATCAATGCACATCTTGGCATTGAGCAGAGGTGAGTTCAAGGAGATTACTGCTGTGCTTTTGGAGGCTGCAAGATGATCTTATTTGTAAGCTTCTGAATTGTCTGAACTAGTTTTATGTGAATAAGTGTATGTATCTCTTTGCGAGTGTTTTTGGCTGCCTATGCAAGGGTAGGGGGGGAAAAAATCCAAATTTGCTTCTTGAACAGAGTCTAAGTCTTGCAGGCATGAGGTGGATGTTTTATGTACTGTGGGTTTTGGGGGTTTGGTTTTTTTAAAGCATAAGCTGTACTTTCATGTGGCTTTGTCAGGAACTTCACAAACAAAATGGTGCTAGGATTTTCCTGATGGTGTTGGTACCTGTTGTTGCCATTGCTGACTGGCTCGAGATGTGATTCTGTAGCCAGAAAGGGTATTCCAAAGCTGGCGTCTGTCCTGATTTTTGCCTCTCCCTTCAAGTCAGTGAACTCTTGTTTATCCTTTTGCATGCAAGCAAGACTTAAAGATCATCATCTTCACTCACATGGTATTTTGGTTTCTAGTATACACAGCCATAACACAGATTCACAGAGTGGTAGGGATTGGAAAGGGAACTCTAGTGATTATCCAGTCCAACCCCGTTACCAGAGCAGGATCACCTAGGGTAGATCACACAGGACCAAGTCCAGATGGCCTTTGAAAGTCTCCAGGGAAGGAGACTCCAGCATCTCTCTGGGCAGCCTGTTCCAGTGCTCTGTCACCCTCACAGGGCAGAAGTATTTCCTGTGGCTCTGTGTGTATATATATGTGTGTGTATTTGTTTGAGCTTTTCTTAATCAACAAACACGTTGTTATCTGGATCACAAGCATATTGCTACTACAGTATCCTAGCAGCGGTCCAGTGGAAATAGCACTTCAGGTACTCATGAGAGATGAAGTGATGCCTCTCTACTTTCCCTTACCTATATGCCTCGATACTGTGACGTGGAAGTGTAGTAGTGTGGCTTTAACACATGATGCTGAGGTTGCTTTGAAAACTCCCATGAATGTCTGTGCCTCTGACATTCAGTTTAAAAGATGGGAATGACAGAAGTTCTGGTGGTCAGCTTCAACAGAATGTGTAACTTAAATATTTGGTGCTTTAAAATACTCCCTGTTTCCTCTTCACTTTAATTTCCTTAATCATCTTTAAGGGTATTTTATTGTCTGTCAGTGTCATTATTTAAGCCTACTTGATGTGTGGGTCAGGTGAGGTAAATGACAGGTGCCGTTTCTGAAGTAAGTACACTTCCTACAACCCAAGCTCTTCCTGTAAGGGATTAGCTGCACTAGCACCTTACAGTGAAAGGAGAGAACTGCAAAGGACTGTTGCTTTTGAATTTAGCTGGAGGTCTTGTGCCATCTCTGCTGGTACTGGGAATTCTAATGTAATTAGAAATGTAGTTTGGTGCATGCTAAAAAGCTGTTAAATGGTCTAGATCAAGCCAGCAGTGAGGCAAACAAATAATACAATCTTTTAATCAAGGGAAACCAGTCCTGAAGCTTAGGGCACAACATTTCCACTGTTCATGCCATACTTCAACTGTTACAGAACATGTTTTCCTATATGTAATGACAGCGGTTCTTAAGGAGCTGTTTCCAATGTTACCCATTTCTTGTTTTAATAACAGAGAGTATTATCCTGTTTTCCAAATCCTGAAAATCACTTCTATCAGTATATGCTCAAATGTAGTATGAATTATAGATTTATAGAACTAAATATTTCCTACTACAAAATCGCAGCATTAAACATTAAAGCAATGAACTGGGTGGGGGGTGGAAACCATGAATCCCTTCATTGCTTCTGAATTTACCACTGCCTTCTCAGAAAATGTAATTTTGTGTCATGGCCCCATACCGGTTCACCGAATCCTGTTGGTGCTTCAAATCTGCAATTCTGATAGAATTAGCAAGTTTTGCAGGCTGGAGTTTGTGGTGTTAGTATTGATTTTCATCCCTCTGTGGTTTCATGTTGCAGCTGAGAGGGCCTCAGAGCTAGCTGCTGTGAGAGGAGTGAACCAATCTTCTGTTCCCTGATCCCTGGGCACAGCTGGTGCATTTTTGGCCTTGTGGGGAAGTGGTTTAGGGAGCTGAGATCCTGGGGTAGCTCCCTGAACTGGTTCCCCAGAGGGTCAGAGAGCTGGAACATGAGTTGAGGAGGTGAGAGGCAGGCCATTCTGCTGATTATTAGTGGTTTTATTGGGTTGGCTATAACATAAAGCATCACCTACAACTTCTTGTCTCTCACACCAAGATCTTGAGGTAGATCTGTGCAGGTACTTATAGATTGCTCTTACTTAGAGGGGGCTGTTTTACCCTCACCCATGTGTATAATCCTGTTTGCATTGCTGCTCTCAGCCCTTTACTTCCCTTGTTGGAATAATAGGTGTGTAGTCTTCCCTGCCACTGTTTCAGTGTTTCTTGCAGGTCTGCCTGGGTGGCAAAGCAGCAGCAATACCTGTCAGGCTCCTTTGGTAAGGGAGCTAGGAGGGGAAAAATTTGTCTGTCTCATGTCACAAATAGAGGTCAGCTGCAGAGGGACAGTCAGAGCAAAAATCTGATTTTACCACAGCTGCTAAGGCACCTTCGCTAAGAGGGGAAAAAATCATGGAGAGTTGTTTTCCACTTCAGTGAGCTGTACTAGCCTTACCTGAAGGTGCACAAGTGCATGGGACCCAGTGGAATACATCCGCGGGACCTGAAAGAACTGGTGGATGGGGTTGCAAAACCTCTCTCCATCCTATTTGAAAAGTCATGGCAGTCTGGTGAAGTTCCCACTGACTGGAAAAGGGGAAACGTAACCCCCATCTTTAAAAGGGGGAAAAAGGAGGACCCAAGAAACTACAGGCCAGTCTCACCTCTGTGCCTGGCAAGATCATGGAGCAGATGCTCCTGTAAACCATGCTGAGACACGTGGAGAACAATGAGGTGATTGGTGACAGCC